GCCAAAAAATAAAGACAAAGAGAGAACCCTAAAGGCAGCAAGAGATAAGCAACAGGTTACCTACAAAGGAAACCCCATAAGGCTCTCAGCTGACTTCTCAACAGAAACACTACAGGCCAGAAGGGAATGGCATGAAGTAATCAAGGTCATAAAAAACAAGGATCTGAATCCAATCCTACTCTACCCAGCAAGGCTATCATTCAAAATAGAAGGTCAAATAAAGACAGCTTTCGCCCTGGCCGGTTTGGCTCAGCGGTTAGAGCGTCGGCCTGAGGTCTGGAGAGACCTGGGTTCGGTTCCCGCTAGGGGCGCGTACCTCGGTTGCGGTTGGTCCCCGGCCCTGGTTGGTCGTGCGGGTGGCAGCCACTCGATGTGTCCCTTCACGTCGATGTTTCTCTCCTCTCTCTCTGTTCCTCTCTCTCCCTCCCACTCTACCTGAACAAAAAATGGAAAAATGTCCTCGGGTGAGGATAAAAAATAAAAATAAAAAAAACTAAGGGAATATATTAACACCAAACCAGCACAGCAAGATACGCTAAAAGGACTGCTGTAATTAGTAGAAAAAATAGGAAGAAAAATATCACCACACCAAACAAAAATGTCAATAAATAAGTACATATCAATTATCACCTTAAATGTGAATGGATTGAATGCTCAGATAAAAAGACATAGAGTAGCTGACTGGATAAGAAAGCATGACTCACTTATATGTTGTTTACAAGAAACCCACCTCACAACAAAAGACTCACATAGGATGAAAGTGAAGAGATGGAAAAAAATCTTTCAAGCAAATGGAAAGAAAAACAAAAAACAAAAAAACCTGGGTAGCAATACTCATATCTGATAAAGTAGATTTCAAAATGAAGGCCATAACTAGAGACAAAGAAGGCCACTACATAATATTGAAAGGATCTATCCAACAGGAAGATATAACCTTGATAAACATATATGCACCCAATATAGGAGCACCAACATATATTAAAAATCTTTTGGAGAACTTCAAAGGAGAAATCAACAGCAATACAATTATAGCGAAGGATTTCCTTTTTTTTTTTTTTTAATTTTATTTTTGTTACAGCTGTTTTACCTTTTTTACTCCATTGACACCCTCCTCCTCATCCTCTCAACCCCATTCCCGGCTTTGTTGTCCATGTCCATTGCTTATGTGTACATGCATATAAGTTCATAGCAAGGGATTTCAATACCCTGCTCACATCACTGGATAGATCTTCTAGACAAAAAAATAACAAGGAAACATAGACTCTAAATGAAGCTCTAGATCAAATGGATATAATAGATATCTACAGAGAATTACACCCCAAAACTGCAGAATTCACGTTCTTCTCAAGTGCACATGGGACATTCTCAAAGACAGACCACATGTTAGGGCACAAACTAAGTCTCTACAAGTTCAAGAAGATTGCAATCATATCAAGCATCTTCTCAGATCACAATGGCATGAAACTAGAAATCAATTGCAACAAGAACATGCAAAGACATTGGAACACATGGAGGCTAAATTGCATGTTATTGAACAATGAATGGGTTATCGTGGAGATCAAGGAAGAAATTAAAAACTTCCTGGAAACCAATGAAAATGAACACACAACAACACAATATCTATGGGATGCATTAAAAGCAGTTCTAAGAGGGAAGTTCAAAGCACTACAGACCTACTTCAAGCAACAAGAAAAATTTCTAATTGACTGTCTAACCTCACAACTTAAAGAACTAGAAAGCAAACAAAAAGAAAACACCAGAGCAAGTAGAAGGAAGGAAATAGTAAAGATCAGAGCACAAATAAATGACATAGAGACCAAAAAAAAACAATTCAAAGGATCAATGAAACATAGAGCTGGTTTTTCGAAAAGATAAACAAGATTGATGGACCCTTAGCTAGACTCACCAAGAAACAAAGAGAGAGAACCCAAATACACAAAATCAGAAATAAAAGAGGAGAAATAATAACTGACACCACAGAAATACACAGGATTGTTAACAAATATTATGAATAATTATACAGCAACAAATTGGACAATCTAAGCAAAATGGACAAATTTCTAGAAACACCTAGTCTCTCAAAACTGGACCGAGAAGAGATAGAAAACTTGAACAACTAAAGACATTGAAGATGTAATCAAGACTCTCCTAGCAAACAAAAGCCCAGGCCCGGACGGCTTCACAGGGAATTTTAACGAACATTCAAAGAAGAACTAATACTCATTCTCCTCAAAATATTTCTTTTTTGTATTTTACTTTATTTTTATTTTTATCATTTTTTTAAAATTTATTAATTTATTTTTGTTACAGATGTTTCCCCTTTTTCCCCCACTGACTCACCCCTCCCCCTCCCTCCTCACCCTGTCCCCAGCTTTGTTGTCCATGTTCATTGCTCATGCATACATGCATATAAGTTCTGTGGTTTATCTCTCCCCCACCACCTCCTCTTCTGGGAATTGTCAGTCTGTACCCCACTTCCACATCTCTGGGACTACCCCATTCCTCAGACTGTTACGTTCATTATATTCCACAAATAAGTGGGATCATATGATACTTGTCTTTCTCTGTTTGGTTTGTTTCACTTAGGATAATACTTTCCAGGTCCCTTTATGTCGTCTCAAAGGATAAGAGATCTTTCTTTCTTACAGCTGCATAGTACTCCATTGTGTATATGTACCACTGTTTTTTCATCCATTCGTCAACTGACTGACAATTCCCAGAAGAGGGGGTGGTGGGGGAGAGATAAACCACAGAACTTATATGTATGTATGCATGAGCAATGGACATGGACAACAAAGCTGGGGACAGGGCGGGGAGGGAGGGGAGGAGTGAATCAGTGGGGGTGGGAGAGAAACATCTTGTAACAAAAATAGATAAATTAATTTAAAAAAAAAAGAGAAAGAAATTAGCACTGGCAGGTTTGGCTCAGCGGTTAGAGTGTCGGCCTGCGGTCCAGAGAGACCCGGGTTCGGTTCCTGCTAAGGGCACATACCTCGGATGCAGTTTGTCCCCGGCCCTGGTTGGGTCATGTGGGTGGCAACCACTGGATGTGTCCCCTTCACGTCGATATTTCTCTCTCTCTCCCTCCCACTCTATCTGAACAAAATATGGAAAAATGTCCTTGGGTGAGGATTTAAAAAAAATGATAAATTAGAAACCACAATTAAAGTGGAAAAATCCCATTTATAATTATAAGAAAATCTCTATGTTTCCAATAGGAATATATGTAATAGAAGATTTATAGAAAAAAATACAAAATTTATTGAAGGACACAAAATAACTCCTTTTGTTTATAGATGGATGATTCAATAAACATATGCTACATATTTAAAAAAGAGAGAGAGAGAGAGAGAGAGCACTTCCGATCATGATGGCAGCATAGGTAAACGCGTATTGCCTCCTCCCACAACCACATCAAAGTTACACCAAAAATAATGTGGGGAAGGCAGGAGGGGCGCAGGATTGGGGAGGAGGAGGACAATGGGGAAAATAAGGAAGGGACATGTATAATACATTCAAAAATAAAGATGAGTTAAAAAAAAAAAAGAATAAAAAGTAACCCAATTAATATCTGGGAAAAGTGTCTTAATAGACATTTCTCTAGAGAAGACATACTAATGGCCAATAAGCACATGAAAAGATACTAACATCATTAGTCATGGGAAACGCAAATCAAAACCACAAAGAGGCCCTGGTTTGGCTCAGCGGTTGGAGCGTCGGCCTGCAGTCCGGAGAGACCCGGGTTCGGTTCCCGCTAAGGGCATGTACTTCGGTTGCAGTTTGTCCCCGGCCCTGGTTGGTCGTGCGGGTGGCAGCCATTCGATGTGTCCCTTCACGTCGATGTTTCTCTCACTCTCTCTCTCTTCCTCTCTCTCCCTCCCACTCTATCTGAACAAAAAATGGAAAAATGTCCTCGGGTGAGGATAAAAAAAAAAAAAAAAAACACAATGAGAATCACTTCACACTCACCAGGATGGCTGTAATAAAAAAGACATACAATAACAGGGGTTATCAAGGATGTGAAGAAAATGGAACCCCCACACAATGTTGATAGGACTGTAAAATGGTGGAGATGCTTTGGAAAACAATCCAGCATTCTTAAAAAGTTAAACATAGGCCCTGGCTGGTTTGGCTCAGCGGTTAGAGCATCAGCCTGCGGTCCACAGAGACCCGGGTTCGGTTCCCGCTAAGGGCATGTACCTTGGCTGCAGTTTGTCCCCAGCCCTGGTTGGGTCGTGTGGGTGGCGGCCACTCGATGTGTCCCTTTCACATCGATGTTTCTCTCTCTTCCTCTCTCCCCTTCCCGCTCTATCTGAGTAAAAAATGGAAAAATGTCCTCGGGTGAGGATTAAAAAAAAAAAAAAGTTAAACATAGGGTCACCATCTGACCCAGCATTTCTATTCCTACTATACATACCCAAGATAAATGAAAACATGCATCCATACAAACACGTGTACATGAATATTCATAATGACATTATTCAGAAGAGCCAAACAGTAGAAACAACCCAAATATTCAATCAACTGATGAATAAATAAAATGTGGAATATTATTTAGCAATAAAACGGAATGAATACTAACATGCTCCAACCTGGATGAAAGTTGATAACAGCTTATCCAAAATACCAAGTAGGTTAGTGGTTTACCAGAAGCTTGGGGGAGGGAGAAATAGGGGGTGACCGCTAATGGTCACAGGGTTTATTTTGGAGGGGAGGTAGTGATGATAATGCTGAAATTAGATAGTGGTTATGGTTGCAAAACTCTATGAATATACTAAAAACCACTGTATTAGACACTTTGAAAGGATCTATTTTATGGTAGAATGCATAAAGCTCCAAAAAGCTATTGTGCTTTTAAAACCTGCAAAAAGCTCAGATGTCCTTCAACAAGTGATCAGTGACACAAAGTAGTACATACGTACCGTGGAATACTACTTGCTGAAACTACAACTCCCAGGGCGCCACGCGGCCTGCCCCGGCGATCATGTGACCTCTGTTCACGTGTCTCTGCAGCCGGCTGGTGCATGAAGTACGGTAGGTAGGTGGCAGGAGGTAGAAGCTGTGGAGGGTGGAGGCTCTAAGTCCCTGGGTACCCCAACCCCCGATCAGCAGAGCCCTGCCCAGTCCTGCAGGGGCCTCCGAAGCCCGGCGTCCGTGGTCCCACGCCCGCCCTCGGTTGCCCCATCTCTGCCCAGTCTCCACCCAGTCCTAGGCCCGGATCGAATCCCGGAGCCTCTCCCCAGTTTACTCCACAGCAGCCCACTCGCCTCACTTCAGGCCTGGGGGTCATCCCTTCAGCGCCGGGTGCGCCCTGGTCCACCTCCCAGTGCAGCCCACCCCTCATATTTCTGGGATCCAGCCGCAGGCCGTAGTGGGAACCCGCTCCGGCTGGGATCCGAAGGGCCTACTTTAGTGATGACAGCTGTGGCCTGAGCAGGCGGGCATCAGGCTTCTAGTGCCAACTGCCCGCGTGACAGTAGTGACCGTAGTCTATCGTCTTCCCCTCCAAGGGCCTGTGTACCGATTGCGCGGCTCAGTTCCCTTCACTTTGCTGACCAGCACGGAACAGCTCAGACTCTTCACTCCGCTGTCAGCGGATTTTAAGTAAAGCCTTGAGAAAAGAAGAAATTGGGGCCAGAGAGAGGTGAGGAGAATCAGGTCCCAGATCTTTGGGGAGAAGGAGTTGTAAGGAGCTGCCCACCTCCATCATAGCCCATCAGGTGGAAAGAGCAGGTAAGCCGGGGACAATGAGCTGAGCGATTTGAGGGAGGGTAGGCTAAAAGACCTTAAACCTCTGTGTCGGAGCTGTGAGCAGGGCTGAGGGGCAGGTCCCACAGTTCTGGCAGCACTAACTTTGCAGGGCTCTCTCTGGAGTTATGCTGGAAGCCTGAGCACCCAAGACTTCCTCCACTACTCACTGCTTTGATTTTTTGGCTGAGTTGATGGCTGGGTAGCAGGTCGCATAAGAGGAAGCCCCGTGGCACCTGACTGATCTTTCTGGAGTTGGAGCCAGTAGAGAGGTATTTCCTCCTGGGCTGGTCCCTTAGTTGCATGAATAGTGATAGTGTCTAAGAGCATCAGAACCCTCCCTTTTCCCTCTCAGGAGTGTACCATTCCCAATTTTGTTGGACCAGGACCAGGACGAGCAATGGGAAGCATCTGACTACCCAGGGGGCCTCCTTTGCCGTCCTGAACCCCTGGTGTGTTGGGGACATCAGAGGGGATGCCTCTGTGGAGGGTAGTAGTTAGATCAGTCTTGTGGGAAAAGAGTGAGGCTTGGCCTGAGTTTAGAAGGGCTTTGAAAGCCGTGTAGAATTTAGACTCCGGACTGCAGGGAGGTATGCTGGGCTGCAATACATTGAAATACCCTGAGTGAGTTTCTGAATGGGTCATGTGGAAACAAGCTGGAAAGTAAGACAGATCTGTATCCAAATCCTGCTCTGCAACTTGTTAATATGTGACCATGGGTCAGTGATTTGATCTCTCCAAATGTTATGACCCTTGTCATAAGGACAGAATGAGCTATGTCCATGACACTCCTGCCCTATATGTGGTCTCTCTGTAGCACTGACGTTACTACCCCTTCTCTTTTATGTTTTTTTTTTTTTTAATATTTTTATTTTTATTTTTTTAGAGAGAGAGAGAAATATCAATAGGCTGCCTCCTGAAGGCCCCCTACTAGGGATCAAACCCAAAACCTAGGCATGTTCCCTGACTGGGAATCGAACCAGTGACCTCTTGGTGCATGGGACAATGCTCAACCACTGAGCCACACCGGCCGGGCTCCTCTCTTTTATGTTTATGTTTCATTTACCCTGTGGGTCTACAAGTCTGAAGCAAGTAGGATTCGCCTCTGACCTGTTTCTGTCACCCCACACTATGGCACCCAATGCAGTGTTCTGCACAGAGGTGCGCCTGGGTTTGAATCCCAGCCATCTGATCTTGGGAAAGTTATTTCATCTCTCTGTGCCACCTTGGGATAACAGTAGTACCTGCCTTTCCTATCTAGGCTGAGAAGAGCCACAGCCCACAGGCCTCCTAGGAGAACAGCTCTGAACAGGGGATGTGGTCGTGAGGCAGAATCTGCAGACCCTGCAGGAAGAAGGCTCTCAGGGCCATGGCCCAGGTCAGCATCAACAGTGACCTTGGCGAGTGGGGCTTCAGCACGGATGCTGGGGAGCGGGCCCGTCTGCTGCAGAGTCCCTGTGTGGACTCAGACCCTAAGAGTGAGGGGGAGGCCTCTCCTGAAAGTCTGAGCAGGGGCACCACGTCCACATTTGGGGCCATCTTCATCGTAGTCAACGCCTGCCTGGGTGCAGGACTGCTCAACTTCCCAGCAGCCTTCAGCACTGCCGGGGGCGTGGCAGCCGGCATCACCCTACAGATGGTGAGTATGCAGGCCGCAGGCCGAGGGGCAGAAATGTGGCAGAAATGCAGTTCAGCTGGTGAGCCTGGCTTCTTTGCCTCAAAGGGGAGGCTTTGGATCAGGGATGGTCAGAGCTACCACTCTCTCCACCATCACACATGGCAGACATTACTAATCTATCCCAGCATTCCTACCTCTGAGCCCAGAGGAGGCTTCAAAAGCATTCCCAGGGGAATTTGACATCAGTTGTATACTTGATAATCTTGGGGTTATGTTTTAAAAGTAACCCCTTATCTTTTAGAACTACATGAAATATTATTCATGAAATGATATGAAAACTTGTATTTTCTTCAAAATAATCTAGGGTGGGAGAAGGAATCAATGAAACAAGATTAGCTATGAATTGATCATTTTTAAAGCTGAGTAATGAGTACATGGTGGTTCATGATAGCATTCTGTCTAGTGTTGTGTTTGCTTGAAATTTTCCACAAAGCTGCTTTTGTTTCTAAAGAAAATTTCAAGTCAGCAGCCTCTAGTAATCTATTAAACTTGCCTTGGAAGATGAGGTTTATTTGCCAAACTAGCTTCCGGCATTGGCCCAGTAAGTGCTAACAAGACCAGGCTGCCCTTTGCTGCCAGGCCTTTCCCACTCCCTCTTGCTCTGCCCCTGCCTACAGGGCATGCTGGTTTTCATCATCAGCGGCCTCGTCATCCTGGCCTACTGCTCCCAGGCCAGCAATGAGCGGACCTATCAGGAGGTGGTGTGGGCTGTGTGTGGCAAGCTGACAGGTGTGCTGTGTGAGGTGTCCATTGCCATCTATACCTTCGGTACCTGCATCGCCTTCCTCATCATCATTGGGGACCAGCAGGACAAAAGTGAGGTTCCCTCAGTAGCTACTTCATCCCTCCCCCTTGGCCCTGGGGATTCTGGGGGTGGAGGGAAAGGGCATGGTCCTGGCCTTCACCTGGGAATCCTCCCTCCTGGCTGCTGGGCCCATTAGACAGATGGAGGTCCTGAGGCCCTGCAGAGCTGGAGAGCTGCACCCTGCAGTAGCCTAGCATGACCGTCCCTCCTTCCTCCCTGTGCAGTTATAGCTGTGTTGGCAAAGGAGCCTGAGGGGGTCGGTGGCAGCCCCTGGTACACAGACCGCAAGTTCACCATCAGCCTCACTGCCTTCCTCTTCATCCTGCCCCTTTCCATCCCCAGAGAGATCGGCTTCCAGAAATATGCCAGGTTCGGAGGCCCCACCCCAACCTGGGCCAGTCAGAACTCTGATCGCAGGCAGCTGGAGACCCCAGGGCTGCTGGGGAGCCCCTGTCCTCTGTGCCGTCTTGCCTTCTGGGGCACAGAGTGGGCAAGGCAGGCTTGCAGGGGTCCCAGCACAAGACTTACTTTTCTGTCAGCAATAAGGGAGACAGTGGCCCTTAGCATCAGTGGGATATTCAGTTCCAATGTCCTTGTCAAAGAAGGGACACTTGACAATCAGAAGGTGAGGGCAACCCCTGGCCTGCACTTTGGCTTTCCCAGAGAGAATGGGTTTTTGATCAGTTTGAATGGTCAGCCTGGCAGTATCTTCCACGCGGCTTGTTATAAAGGGAGAGGACTGGCTTCCTGGCTCAGAGTCTGAAAAGCTGTTTCCTACTTTCAGGGTCACGCTCAGCTGTCTCCAAGTTCCCCTATAATGTTGACATTCCAGTATTTGTACCATCAACCCTTTTATCTCAATTATCTCCTAGTTCTCAAAGGCCTTGCTTGCAGCCCTTGCCAAATGTGGGCCGCGCCAATGCAATTGGAGACATGCTCTGAAGCTCCGTCCTCCAAGCCGTGGAGCTGAGCCCGTGTATTTCCTCATGGTCAGAAATGTTAGTCTAGTCCCCTGTTGGGGTCCAGCTCCCTCCACCTGTGGCCAGTTTCTCCAAACGTTATTTCTCGTGCATTTCTTGACCCTTTGCTTGAAATAGTCTCCCAGTTCATTCAAGAGACACTTGTGGTCACTAGTGCTGAGGGTAGATGCCCCTGGGATGGAATCAGAGAAAGGGCAGCTGGGGCTGGGGAGGAGGAAGTTCAATCCATTTTCCCCGGCAGCTTCCTGAGCGTCGTGGGCACCTGGTATGTCACTGCTATCGTTATCATCAAATACATCTGGCCAGATAAAGAGATGACCCCAGGGGACATCCTGACCAGGTGGGTGAGGGCCTCCAAGAGATACTTGGGGCAGGATCTGCTGCTTGGGTCCCAGAAGGTGCTGAGTCAAACATCAAAAGGCCACACAAGTGTTCGTCTCAAGGCTCTTTAGCTCATCAGGTCTTATCTCAGTGGTCACTGTAGGAAGGAGGCAAGACGTCCTGATCTCTTTTTACTGAAGGGAAGAGTGAGAACCAGAGACAAGAGAGACCAACATGCCACTAACATCCAAGAACTGAGCAACCTGAGACTAGGCCTCAGGCTGTAGAAGACTGTTAGGGTGGAATTGCATATTTTTCCAACTTGTGTTTCTCTGTAATTTCTATGCCTTCTACATGGGGATGAATCTGTTTTGTCATTTTTAAAAAAATTTCCACCCTGGCCAGTTTGGCTCTGTGGTTAGAGCATCAGCCCGCCGACCAGAGTCTCAGGTTCGATTCCAGTCAAAGGCACATACCTTTGTTGTGGTTTGGTCCCCAGCCCTGGTCGGGATCCTGCAGGAGGCATCCAATCAGTATGTTTCTCTCACATCGATGTTTCTCTCTCTCTCTCCCTCCGTCCCTCTCCATCTGAAGATAAATGGAAAAGTATCCTCAGTTGAGGATTTTTTTTAAAGTTTCCTTTTTAAAAAAATATGTTTTTATTGATTTTTAAAGAGAGAGGAAGGGAGAGGGAGAGAGAGCTAGAAACTTCAGTGAGAGAAACACACTGAGTGGCTGCCTCCTACACACCCCCAATGGGGATCAAGCCCACAACCCAGGCATGTGCTCCTACTGGGAATCAAATCGGTGACCTCTTGGTCTATGAACTGACGCTCAACCACTGAGCCACACCATTTGAAAGGAACAAACCACAAAAACAAAAGCCCCAGTGTAGGAGCCAGAAATTCTGGATTTTGGTCCCAGGAGAGCTTTCCAGAGCCTCCGTTTACTGACCTGTGAAATGGAGACATGTCCTCTCCCTGTTCCCAGACTTCTGTGGGTTGTATGTGTAGGAGGCTCACTGGCAGAGGCTGTAGTGGGCTGAATGAAGAGTAAGGGCGTGGAGGTGGTTGGTGGCTGTGGGGTTCACAGGCAGCAGATTCTTGTGTTTGTTCACAGGCCAGCTTCCTGGATGGCTGTGTTCAATGCCATGCCTACCATCTGCTTTGGATTTCAGGTGCCAGTTGCAAGGTCCCTGTTGTCCCCTTAGCTCACTCCCCACCCTGGGATGGAGCCCACATTATAGGCAGGATGGGGGTTGTCCTGGGAGAAAGGAAAAAGTAGGGACCTTAAGACTTGCCCCTTGTCCCTGTGGTCTTTGTCCCCAAGGTACCTCCCTCTGGAAATGGGTAAGGTCACTTCCCTACCATAACTATGACCTTCACGCCAACAGTGCCATGTGAGCAGTGTGCCCATCTTCAACAGCATGCGGCAGCCCGAGGTGAAGACCTGGGGTGGGGTGGTGACGGCCGCCATGGTCATAGCCCTCGCTGTGTACATGGGTACAGGTGAGTGCTCCCACTTTCCCTGTTCCCAGGTGCCCCCCTGGCCCAGCTCTCCTGGGGACAGCCCTGCACTGAGCATGACAAACCCTTCTGTTGGCATTGGCTTGAACTTGAGCTGCCTTGGGCCTCCCCCTGCCCAAATGAGAGGAACATGTTCATCCATTCATTCAGCAGCTCTCATTGGTGCCTTGTAAGTGCCAGGAACTAATCTCAGCATTGGGGGAGTGGAGGGTGCCATGGAGATAGATAGACCTGGCCCTGCCCTCGGAATGGCAGTCTAGTCGAGAGAGAATCTTACAGGAGAGAATCAGAAGGCCTTTCAGACAGTGGTGAGTGCATGGCGACTGTGAAACAGGGAAGATGTGAGTGGGACTGGGAGGGAGGCTTCTCTCTGAGGGGTTGCGTTTGGAGAGGCCCAAATTATGAGAAGGAATCAGAATTAGAAGGGCAGGAGGAAGAGCATTCCAGACAGGAACCAGGAACTGTGAAATCCTTAAGGCAAGGACAGAAAACAGGCGTGTGAGCTGGAGTGCAGCAGCGGGGTGGGCCTTGAGGGCTGTTGGGAGCCAGAGCGGACGTGCTCTGCGGGTGTGCTGGTGAGGGGCGCTGCGGGTGCTGTGGAGAAGGGCTGGGGTGAGGGAGTGGCGCGGGAGGGCGGCCGTGCGTCCTCCCACAGACAGTCTGGAGCCAGCACCCTTCTGCCTCTGGAGACACGGCCTAGAACAAGAGGCAAAGACGGTGCCTGTTCTCCCAGCCTCGTGTTCTGGTTGGAGGAACAGATCATAAACAAGTTGGAAAAGAAAAAGAAAGATGTAGAGAGAAAGCGGGCTGCGAAGGAAAGAACAGGTTGCCGTGAGAGTGCCTGGGAAGCACCCTCTAGAGAGGGGACATGGAGCCGAGTGATCGGATGGCGGCCTGAAGAGCTGGCTCTGAGACCGGGACGTGCTGGGCCAGCAAGGTCAGAGGTGGCGGCAGAGGGCAGATGTGAGAAGTCAGGGGGAGAGGCTTCTGATCCCAGCCCAACACCCTCTAAACCTCCAGAGCTGCTCCAGTGCCCTCCTGTCTGATGTCACACCTAGCAGTGGACATCCATCCCCCGTACCCTGCCAGGGTGATCCTGACCCAGCCCTTCTGTCCCTGCCTTCAGGTGTCTGTGGCTTCTTGACCTTTGGAGCCTCCGTGGACCCCGACGTGCTCCTGTCCTATCCCTCCAACGACGTGGCTGTGGCCGTAGCCCGTGCCTTCATCATCCTGAGCGTGCTCACCTCGTACTCCATCCTGCACTTCTGTGGGCGGTGAGACCCCTCCCTGCCCCACCGGGGTGCCCCCTCGGGGCCCCTGAAAGCCCTTTAAACTTGGTCCTTTGGCCGTGTATGGAACCCATGTTGTAGAAGGAGAAACCGAAGCCCATAGGAAAGAGTCAGTGCCTAGCATGGCCCTATCAGTACCCCAGGCCAGGTCTTGGGGCCCCCTTTGTCCCAGGGTCCCCAGAACATTCTGTGATTCCTCTAAGTACCTCTAGCCCAGATCCTTTTCTGAACACCCAGCCTTCTGGGTATCCTAGACCCTTCCTTTTCATGAAAACAATAGAATCCGTTCCCACTGGGTGATCACGTCCTGGCCAGGCAGGGTGCTAAGCCCTTCTTGTCCACCTCTCACCCAGTCCCCAAGGCAGCTCTAAGGAGATTACTGCTCGGCGCCTTACAGAAGAGGGACCGGGCTTCCCACATCCACCCAGTTAGGGTCTGGCTCCCGGAGCTGGTGGCAGGGACTCTTAGCAGGGGTGTCTCTGAGCCCTTCGGTGTGTGCAGGGCAGTGGTGGAGGGCCTGTGGCTGCGCTCCCAGGGGGTGCCAGTGGAGGAGGACCTGGGGCGGGAACGGCGGCGGCGAGTGCTGCAGACGCTGGTCTGGTTCCTGCTTACCCTGCTGCTGGCTCTGTTCATCCCTGACATCGGCAAGGTCATCTCGGTCATCGGAGGCCTGGCCGCTTGCTTCATCTTCGTCTTCCCAGGTGTGGACCCCTGGTGCCCCCACAGCACTGACTCCTCCCTGCCTCAGCTCCTCACTTGCTCACCTGCCGGTGAGGAACCACCAGCATCTGTTGTCACCCACTGCCGGCTCTGGGCCAAACCATGTCCAAGCATCATCTGAAAAGAAGATGCTATTCTCTCCACTTAAGTGACCAGATGTGAGGTTCAGGGAGGGGAACAAATTTGCCTAGATGTTAACTCAGCTCATGAGTAACAACCTTTCGAACCCCAAGTCTGCCTAGGTCCACAGCCTTTACCCTAATTCTTCGATCAAGTACCTGTTGCTCCCTAGCAGTCAGGGATCTGGCTGGTTCAGTCTCTAGAGGGCAATGGGATCTGGTGGCAGCACCCTGACACAGAAGCCCAGAGACCTGTGTCAGATACAGGTCCACCACCAGATCCCTGGGACATTGTCCCATCTGCCCAGCCATGAGTTCCGCCTGTACCCAGCTTATTTCAATTTAGGAAACCACCTTGAAAGCCTTTGCCACTTGGCTTGGAGCAGGGGGGCTACATTTGCTCAGCTGTGCACTGGGAAGGGCCCTAGGGTGGCGGCCCCTTTATCTCCGAGTCTTGCATGCAGCCCGAAGTGTGCCTGTCAGATGCCAGGCCTCCAGCTGGGTGTGGGGAGCAGAGGTCGAATATCTGGAAGAGTGAACAGGCCTTTCTCCATCTACCACTGCCTCTTGGGAAGGGGGGAGGCCAGGCCTGAGGGAGAGAGCCCACCCAAGCTCTCTGGGCGCCTCTTCTCTTCCAGGGCTGTGCCTCATTCAAGCCAAACTCTCTGAGATGGAGGAAGTCAAGCCAGCCAGGTAAAGCAGGGCCCAGCCCTTGGTCCTCAGGGGAGGTGCTAGATTGGGAGGTAGCCTTGGGGAGGCCTTAATATCATAGGGGCCAGGAGACTTGCACACTTTGAAAAACAGGAGTTTTTAAAATATTTTTTTTAATGGGTAACATGCTAGTTGTGACAGTTCAAGCACTCCTGAAGATCTTTAGAGAAAAAAGTGGAAGTCCCTCCTCCCCCACAGCCCAGATGCCATCCTCCTCCACCCGCAGCTCCATATCCTAAGCACGGTCTGTGTGCCCTTCCAGACTTTCTGTGCACATGTACCTGTCTGTGTACACAAAGCTATGCATATGTATACACAAACACATGGGATTGGGGATCTAGTTTGTTTGTTTTTTAAAACGGTTCTATGTCAGACATATTTTTCTGCCACTTTTTTCTTTCATTTAACCATGTATCTTGGAGATCACTCTATGTCAGCACAAGAAAACCCACTTCTTTTTAATGGCTACAGAATATTATGTTGTATGAATGTGTCCTGAATGTGAACATGCTTATCCATATACACTGGACACACCTGTTTGAAGATCTTGGTAGGATGGATTCTCAGAAGGAAACTGCTACATCACAAGGCATGCCCGTCGTTATTTCAGCACATGGGTTCAGATTACCCTCCAAACAGGCAGCGCCAGTCAGTCCCAGCAGCAGTGAATGACCCCCACATCCCTGCCAGCACTGGGTGTAACTGCCTTTCACACTTTTGTTTAAGTAGATGGATGTAAAACAGTACATTGTTTTAATCTGCACATTTCTCGGAATAATAGAGAAGTTGAGAACAGGTTTCATGATTTTAAAAAATTATTGTGCAAGTAATTTTCATTATAGAATATTTAAAAAACACAGACAAGTCTAAGAAAAAATAAAAATCACCCTTAATCTCAATACCTGCTATAAGCCTGTTTTTGATACATACATCTGATACATACACTTTGATATATACATTATAACCCTGTTGCTATTTATGATTCATACATACATTTGCATTTTTGATACATTTGCAGATGTCTGCTTTATTATTATTACTATTATTTTTTTAATCCTCACCCGAGGACATTTTTGCATTTTATCACCAGATAGAGCTGGAGGAAAAGAGGGAGGAAGAGAGAGAGAGAAACATCGATTGCCACCCACACGACCCCAACTGGGGCCAGGGACAAACTGCAACCGAGGTACGTGCCCTTAGCAGGAACCGAACCCGGGTCTCTCTGGTCCACAGGCCGACGCTCTAACTGCTGAGCCAAACCAGCCAGGGCTATTACTTTTTTTTTTTTAATGAAATGACTCACACTCTGTGTGACCTAATTTTTCCCTGAACATCTTTCCATCAGAAAACATGCATTCTAATCCTGGTCCTGCCCTTGGCTCTGTGACCAGTTGATTCCATTAGGTCTTGGTCTCTTTACCTGTGGATTAGGGATCATACACCTGGCAGTGCACACCTTTGCATGAAAAGTCCTTGAGAAGGAGGAAGTGCTCTATTCACAGGAGAAGTGGTTAAGTGATTATGGTAATTAACTGGTTGTGTGTGTGTGTGTATGGAAGCCTTCAGGGTCACAGGTGAGTTGATTGACCAGACCCCTCTCTCCCTCTGCCCTACAGCTGGTGGGCGATGGTCAGTTATGGAGTCCTCTTAGTCACCCTAGGAGCCTTCATCTTCGGCCAGACCACAGCCAACGCCATCTTCGTGGATCTGTTGGCATAACCACCGCCTCCCAGGGAACACATGGCCTTTGCCCCTGTACCCAGGAACCCATCTCGGAGAGCTGCAGGGCCACCCTGACTCTGGCATCATTCCCCTCCACTAGAGGGATGACATCTGGACATCCTTTTCCAGGGACAGGTCCAGGGTGAAATCAGGCCCCATACTTCTGGACAGCTCAGACCCAGCTCCACCCTGTTCCCCTGTGCCATGGATGGTGGGAGGAGTGTCCCAGAGGAACCTCCCCTGCTCTTCCAGTTCTCAACTTCTCCATGCCTGGAACCCAGGGCTGAAGAAGGTCAGCAAGTCTCAAAAGAAAGAATTCCACTTGACTTCTCTCTGGAAGAGTGTAGGCAGAGGGGTGCCACCCTCCACAGAGTAGCCTGTGCTGAGCATGGGCTGTGCTCATAACCCAGGACTCAGCACCTGCTCCAGTCAGACGGCAGAGCAGCTGGCAGGGGCTTCCTCTGGGATCTGGCAAATTCAAGGGTAGCTCTGGGTCCAGACAGAAGCACAGAGGCAGAGTTAATGCCTTGTCCACTCCCTCCTGGGCCCACAAAGCCCAAAGCCCTCTCTCCCATGGCTAATTGACATTTCCCAAGGCTTCGGGGCCTCACCCAGTGTCCAGGCATCCCTCTCCTCCTCCATCCCCAGACATCACCAAGTCTTATGTTTACAAACGGTGCTAGCCCGGCTCAGCCAGGCAGGGGCCAGGGGCCGTCCGGTGCCACGGTGCTGTGAGTTCTCCATTAGCTTTTTCATGATGGAGAGTCTGTTTCCTCTCAGATTCCAGATGGGCTCCTCTTTTCAGAGGCACAAAAACGGGTGATAGAGAAGGCGAGGAACCTTTCAGACCTGTGCAGGCTGGGCCGGTCAGGATCAAGGTGAACCTGTCTGATACCCTCCCCTTCAGTGATTGCTTCTCTCTGCCCTGCTCTGCAACCCTGCATGATAGCCCAGAGGCAAGCAAGGCAGCTGAGTTGTCATTAACTGGGCAACATTTGAGAGCAGTTACACCAGCCTGGAAGTTTCCTTTTCAATCTGGATCTTGTCTGCTCCTTCCTCCCACCTCATCACCACCCCCACCCCATTTTTCCATGTAACTCAATCTCCTGCTTACAGAAGTATTGGGGGCGGGTTGTCAACCCCTCTTGTCCACTTCCTCAGCTCCACACGCCAGGCCTGGCCTTGGTGTCTGTCATTATGTTGAGGTCACACCTGGATTGTGCCCAGGCAGTGAGGAGGGACACCGACTCCCATCGGGTATTCCCATTTTGAACACTGGCCAACACCAGACACCAGATCAGGCTTCCTCTACCTGGAACGCCCAGCGTTTCCCTGGCTGCTGCCAAAACCGCTGTGCTGGGGCAGGGTAGCAGGAACCCTGCCCAGCAGCCCACCGCTCAGGGCAGTCAGATCTAAGAAGCAGAGGCTGGTTGGAGACCAGTGGGCTTCTGCCCAGTCCCCAGACTGGGTGATCTGCCTTTCCTCACATCCTGGCCCCTGGGGCCAGAGCCACTCTGCTGGCTTCTCAGCCTGCTGCACCTCTCCAGGCCCTGCCAGCACCATCCCTACAGGGTCAGGAGGCAGCCTAGCCAGTAGGGCTGCCTAGCCTCCTGATGCTGGATTTCAGAGGTGGAGGGAAGTAAGGGAGTCATTGAACAGAACCAGACCAGTCCGGAAAAGGGGCTGGAATCTGGCCTCTTGGCCCAAACTCAGGAGCCCCCTACCCTCCCTTCCAGGGCATTTTACTCTTTCTTTCTACTCGTGCACATTCAGACCAGTGAAAATGGTTAATAAAAAGGGGCTTGTGCTGAGCTGTGTGGCCTATGTCTGGCGCTGGGGACAGAGTCCAGGCCACTGCTGACAGGAGGAAGATGAGCTGGGATAGGGGTGGAGGCGGGGCCTTCTAGCTTTATTGTCTAGAACCCGTCTCAGGAATGGGCATCATCCTCTTCCCTTTATCAACTGGAAATCTGCCCGTGGTTCTTGACACCTTCCTTTCTTCACATGCCATTAGCCTTGCCCCACCCCCACGGCCTGTGCTTTAGCTCGAGCCCTCACCTTGTCTTCCCTGCACTTACTGCTGTGGCCTCAGACGCCTCCATGTGCATGTCCTTCCCTGATTCCAACTCGGTGAGCTTCTGCCCCTACCTTTTCAGAGGCACCCACAGAGCCCCCACTGCTCAGTGCTGGCAAAACAAACCAGCTCCGGTTCAGTCTTCTGGGGAGGACTGATGCTAAGCCAGTGATCACAAACACATTCTTGCAAATTATGAGACATGCCCAGAAGGAAAAATGTAGAATGTTATATTTGGAGGCCTGGAGTTTGAGGGGTCAAAGAAGCCTTCCTGGAGGAAGTACATTTGAGCTAGCCCCTGAATGATGAGTAGGAATTAAGTGAAAAGAGGTAGTGCCACAGGTCCAGCGGCCACCGCCCCACCTCCCACCCCGCATCCCCGCATCCCCGCAACGCTGTCGTAGCTGGGGGAGGGGGGAAGGCAGTGGTTGGAGCAGCCTGCAGGAGAAAAGCCTGGAGCTGCTCACCGCCAAGTTCCTGTGGCTGCTGCAGGCAGCACAGGGTGGTGTGCTGGACCCCAAGGCGGCTGCAGATACTTTGGCTGTGAGGCAAAAAAGAATTAATGATATCACCAACATCTTGGAAGGGATCGACCTGATTGAGAAAAAGTCAAGAAACAGCATCCAGTGGAGAGGTGTGGATGCTGGCTGCAACACTAAAGAAGTCCTGGAGAGCCCTGGCCGGTTTGGCTCAGTAGTTAGAGCATCAGCCCACGGTCCAGAGACACCATGGTTCGGTTCCCACAAATGGCACACATCTTGGTTGCAGTTTGTGCCCTGGTTGGGGTCATGTGGGTGGCAAACACTCGATGTGTCCCTTTCATGTCTGTTTCTCTCTTTCTCGCTCTCTCTCTCTCTCCTCTCTCCTCTCTCCTCTCTTCTCTCTCCTCTCTCTCCTCTCTCTCTCTCCCTCCCTCCCTTGCACTCTATCTGAACAAAAGATGGAAAAATGTCCTCAGGTGAGGATGAAAAAAAGTTCTGGAGAGACTGAGAGACCTTAAGGCTGAGATCGGGGACCTGGACCTGAAAGAGCTTGATCAGCAGGAGGCGTGGCTGCAGGGCAGCCTCAGAAATGTGAGGGACGATTCTGTCAGCAGAGGTTTTCCTGTGTGACTCACGAGGACATCCACAGTTGCTTCAGCGATGACACACTTTTGGCCACTCGGGCGCCTTCTGGTACACAGCTGGAGGTCCCTCTTCCAGAGATGGGTCAGAATGGACAAAAGAAATACCAGATCAAACTAAAGAGCTATTTGGGCCCCATCCACGTGCTGCTTATCAATAAAGAGTCCAGTTCGTTCCAGCCTGTGGTTTGTCCTGTTCCCCCACCAGACTACCTCATGGAGCCCTCCTCTCAGCCGTGGACTCCCCGGACTCCGTACAAGCTCATCGCAGCCCCTCGGAGCCCCCTCAGCAATCTACCTCCAAAAAAGGCCTGGGTCTCCAACACTTGCCAGCCACAGACCCAGCTTCAGTATCTATTACTGGAGATATCATTAATGAGCTGATGTCTCCCCCCGCCTTTTATTAATTTTAGAGAGAGGGGAAGGGAGAGGAAGAGAAAGATAGACAACATCGATGAAAGAGAAAGAACATCGATTGGTCACCTTCTGCACCCCACACTGGAGATTTGGCCCACAACCTGGGCATGTGCCCTGACTAGGAATAGAACTGGTGACCTCTTGGTACCTGGGTTGACTCTCAACCACTGAGTCACACCTGCCAAGCAAGCTGATGTCTTTTTGTTGTTGTTGTTACAGATGTTTCTCCATTGACACCCTCTTCCCACCCCCCCCACCCCCACAGCATTATTGTCTATGTTTTTGCATACATGCATATAAGTTCTGTGGTTTATCTCTTCCCTCCCCCCACATCCACCTCTTCTGAGGTTTGTCAGTCTGCACCCCACTTCCATGTCTCTGGGTCTGTTTTGTTCCTCAGCTTGTTTTGTTCATTATATTCCACAAATAAGTGAGATCATGTGATACTTGTCTTTCTCTAACAGATTTATTTCGCTTAGCATAATACTCTTCAGGTTCCTCCATGTCATCTCAAAGGATAAGAGATCTCTCTTTCTTACAGCTGCATAGTATTCCATTGTGTATATGTACCACTGCTTTTTTATCCACTCATCTATTGATGGACACTTGGGCTGTTTCCAGATCTCGACGATTGTAAATAGTGCTGCTATGGACATGGGGGTACATATATTCTTTCTGATTGGTGTTTCAGGGTTCTTAGGGTATATTCCTAGTAGTGGGATCACTGGATCAAGTGGCAGTTCAATTTTTAGTTTTTTGAGGAACACCATATTGTTTTCCATAGTGGCTGCATTCTCACCAGCAGTGTACTAGAGTCCCCTTTTCTCCACACCCTGGCCAACGCTTGCTGTTTGATGATTTGTTGATGGCGGCCATTCTGGCAGGTGTGAAGTGATACCTCATAGTTGTTTTAAAAGCTGATGTCTTTTGATGTGTTTCCTCTCCTGTGGCTCTCTCCCATCCCTGCAGACAACTACACCTTTATTTTAGATGACAACAAAGGAGTATGTGACCTATTTGATGTCCAGATACTAAATTATTAGATGCTGTGGAAACCTGGACTGTTATCTATAGCTAACCATAACATTGTAGACTTGCTAATAACCTGAGTGGTTACAACACAACACCCGCTTAGTTTGCTGATTCTGAAGCTTCCCTAATGCTTTTTCTCTGACTTCACAAAACTTCAACCATGAAAACAAAGGGCTCCACTTGCTTCAGGGGAAAAGTAATTTAATAACCACCCACACCCCACCCTCCAGTAACTGCATTCTAGGACTTCAGCTTTTCTTTTTAAATTTTTTTTCTTTATTGATTTGAGAGAGAGAGAGGGAGAGGGAGAGGGAGAGAGAAATAGAAACATCGACGAGAGAGAACATCGATTGGCCGCCTCCTGCATGCCCCCCACTGGGGATCGGGCCCACAACCTGGGCATGTGCCCTGACCCGGGAATTGAACAGCGACCTCTTGGGGCATGGGTCCACGCTCAACCACTGAGCCACACCAGCCGGGCAGGGACTTCAGCTTTTCTTCCTATTCTGACTCCTGTTTTTTACTCTTAGGAGAGTTAAAAGTAGGCTTAAGCTCATCAAAAAACAAAAACAGCCAAGGGCTTATCTCTTATCTGTGCTCCGTTTCTACTGTTTCTACTGCCCGCTGGGCTTCTACTGCCAGAAGCTGTCCCTATGTGTGTGCCCCATCCAGACAGCCAGCCACTGCCTGCACACTGTGGAAGGTGACAAGGCTGCAGTCTCTGCTCCCGGAACAGCTGTGAAGTGCCTTCCGGGCTAGCACTAAGTTCATCACGTCTGGTGCACTTCTGACATTCCACTTTCCTAGGTTATAGAAAGGTCTGTGTGTGTGTAGTTTGTGTTTAAATGTGCCAATGCCTGTGCATGAACAAGATTTTAAAAAGTAAAATTGTATTAAACATTTAAAAAAAAAAAAAAGAGGTAGGGAAACCTTTGTAGTCCACAGGAAGTGCATGTGCAAAAGCCCTGTGATGGGAGGTATATTGTGGTTTGCAGAACTGAAAAGTGGCCATTGTCAAGTGGAGCATTGCCAGTGTGTGAGAGAGCATTCTGGGGTAGTCCTCGATGGTTCCCCCGTCCTTAGGATAAAGTCCAACCAGCTCATCTTCCACTACACTACAATGTCCTCCCTGCTCCAGTCGTAGGTGAGCAAAGACCCCTCCCTCCTGGTGGGGGTAGGAACTCTCCAAGGAGAAAACATTTCAAAAGGTTAGAGGGGTGGGAACAGCTTTGGGCCATGGTTCACACCTGACTAGGGGGCCAACAGCTTAAGGTGTGGTTTCACTTTCTCTAACTAAACATAGAAAAAGGAAAGGGTACATTTTTTGTTGTTGCTGCTAATCCTCAGTCCAGGATATTTTCCAGTGGAAAGGAAGGAGGGAGGGAGGGAGGGAGGGAAGGAGGGAGGGAGGGAGGGAAACATCTATGTGAAAGAGGCATATGAATTTGTTGCCTGCCACACAACTCCAACCAGAGCTGGGGCTCTTACCTGCAACCCAGGGTGCCCTTGACTGGGAATCGAATTCAAGAATCAAACCCAAGACCCTTCAGTCCATAGGCCGATACTCTAATCTGCTGAGCCAAACTAGCCAGGGTACGAAAGATTACATTTATGCCAAAGTCAAAGGAACAGCCCTGACAGGTTTGGCTCAGCGGTTAGAGCATCAGCCTGCGGTCCCGAGAGACCCGGGTTCGGTTCCCGCTAAGGGCATGTACCTTGGTTGCAGTTTGTCCCCGGCCCTGGTGGGTCGTGCGGGTGGCAGCCACTCGATGTGTCCCTTTCACATCGATGTTTCTCTCTCTCTCTCTCTTCCTCTCTCTCCCTCCCACTCTACCTGAACAAAAAATGTCCTCAGGTGAGGATAAAAAAAAAAAAAAAACAAAGTCAAAGGAACAGCCAAAGCCAAATTAATCCGTTCGTCTCTACCTTTTGCTCACCACACAGGTAAGCACTTGATCAATGTCTGTCTCCCCTCCTACACTAAGCTCTGTAGAAACAGGGTCCTGTTTTCCTTGCCCATCAGGTATCTTAGCCCAGTGCCCAGTGTATGGTAAACAAGTGTTCAAAGCTGTTGAACCAACAAACGAAAGAATGAATATCAATTACTATTTGTTGAGTTCTTACTTTGTGCCAGCACTTGACTTGCATCATTCTCACTTGGTCTTCACAACTCTGAGAAGGAGAGAAAGCCAGGAGATGTTAAATAGTTTGCCCAAGGACTCATAGGTAGTAAAACTGGAGCCAGACAGCCCTCTTAACATACAAGGATAAACAAGTGAGCAGAGGGCTCTCTCAGTACCAACCTGGTGATTTCGGACCCTAGAAGGCAAGCTTAGGAACCTACAGCTCCCATGCTGGCTACCAACACCAGACCTTGGAACCCCAGCCAGTCCACGTGGAGTGCTGTGATGCCTGCTGGCTAGTGGTTCTGGGGAAGTCGCTTCGCTTCTCTGGGCTTGTTTCCCATCTCTAAAGTGGGAATGATCATCACTGACCTTAATACCTCCCAGGGTAAAGGGGAGCCAATGTGAAGAAAGTACATGACAATGACAAGTGCTTTATAGCCAGAAATCCATGTTTAGAGAGGAAATGTGAAAACTCAGTTTCTCCTTGGGAGGACCCAAGCTGGGCTTCCCCTACCACTTCCTGGAAGTCTGGGTGCTTTCTCAAGCTTTGATGTGCGTACTGAATTTTTATCGGCTCAGGGTACATCAGATCTGGGGTAGGCCTGAGGTCTGCATTGCTAAAGCTCCCAGTGTTGCCTATGCGCTGGTTCTGGGACCACACTTTCAGTAGCAGGGGAGAGCAAAGCCTTTGGCTTCAGAGATGCCTGGGTTGGATCTCAGTGATGCCTCTTATATGGTAGGAACTCAGGGAACCAGTTCTGAACCCCACTTTCCTCAACTATAAAGTAGGAATGGGGGTGGCCACCTTGTAGATGTAGGTATTATAAATCCAAGAACAAACGGCATAATCATCTATGTGAAGTGCCTGGAAGAAAACAGGAGTTAGGTTGGTCAGCTATCTGTCCTGGGAGTGTGCCACTGCAGTTTATTCCTTTGGCCATTAGAGGTCACCATTGTATAATTTCTGTTTATGGAAGTGAGGCGCCTGAGCCTCAGACTCCAGTCCTCTGAGTCACTAATACTCCTAATGATGCCACTGCTGTCTGTGACTTCTAAGTGAGACTCTTATACTGGGGCAGGGTCACCTCTAGATCATGGCCTCCAGTCTGGCAAGGGGATCGGACCAAATCACAGAAACTAATAATGTAGATACAAGTGCTAGATGTAGATTAGATATTGCAAATCCAGATTTGGTCATAATTTCCTGCTATGATACAATTTTTAAAAATCTTTTTTTTTAATCCTCACCTGAGGATATTTTTACATTTATCTTCAGACAAAGTAAAAGGGGGAGAGAGAAACATCGATGTGAGAGAGACACATCAATTGGTTGCCACCTGCATGACCCCAACCAGGGCCAGGGATGAACCACAACTGAGGTATGTGCCCTTGGCCAGAATCGAACCCGTGACTCTTTGATCTGCAGAACAGCGCTCTAACAGCTGAGTCAAACCGGTCAGGGCAAAAAAAAAAAAAAAATTCTTAAAAAAATAAAATAAGGGGAACCCCCTTCTAGTTGCTAAATAGGATGCTGCCAGAGTCACAAATTGCTCAATATAGACAATTAGATCTTCGGAAATAAAATCAAATTTTCAATAGGTTCACCTCCTGGAACTCTGCGAGGCTCTCACTATAAACAGAATAATTCCTTCTATGCTTCCGTCAGGGAGGATAAAAGGAACTACTTTGAAAAGTGCCAGAGCATTCTGTTCTCAACAAGATCTGCCCTCAGGAGAAACTCAAATTTTACCCAGAGCCTAACCAGCTGGGGTTTTATGAGAGCCTCCCTGACTACAAGGGAAATACCAACTCCAGCCAGCTCCAGCCTGCAATGTGGAGGAAGAAAGGAGCACAGCTCCAGCCTGTCTAGCTACCTGATGGGAGTGAAGGGGGAACTGAGAAACGTATGTGACGTCCACAGTGCAGAAGCTCACAGGCCACAGAAGGACTGATCTGATCATCAGACTATAGAACACCACCCCCTACACCTTGCCATCTCATTACTAAAGGCCTAGTAGTTCCTTTACCCAGCCATCAAGAAAAAAAATGTGAAAAAAATAAAATAAAAGAAAGAAAAAATTGCAAGACATACTAAAAGGCAATAAAAAAAAAGTTTAAAGACACACAGCAGGTAGAAGAGGCCACGAACTACGTTCGGAGCTGTTTTCTTTTCTTTTTTTTAATCCTCACCTGAGGACATTTTTCCATTTTTTGTACAGATAGAGTGGGAGGGAGAGAGAGGAAGAGAGAGAGAGGGAAACATCGATGTGAAAGGGACACATCGAGTGGCTGCCACCCGCACGACCAACCAGGGCTGGGGACAAACTGCAACCGAGGTACATGCCCTTAGCGGGAACCGAACCCGGGTCTCTCCGGACCGCAGGCCGACGCTCTAACCGCTGAGCAAAACCGGCCAGGGCCAGAGCTGTTTTCGAGTTCTCTTAGACACAATGAGCAAAGCTCACTCTCCCTGCCCTGGCCAGTTTGGCTCAGCGGTTGAGCGTTGGCCTGCGGACCAGAGAGTCCTGGGTTCGGTTCCTGCTAAGGCACATACCACACAAAAAAATAATAAAATAATAATAAAACATGTAATACCTATTAAAAAAAAAAAAAACTCACCCTCCCGAGTTAAAAAAATGTATGGACAAGAAGTTGTCATTGAAATTAAATGGTGGCAGACATGTCCAAGGAATATTGCAGGGATTTGATCCCTTTAGGAATCTTATGATAGATGAATGTGTGGAGATGGCAACTAGTGGGCAACAGAACAACATTGGGAGTTGATGTTCAGACTTCCGGTCAGGATGGCGGCATGGTAAACGCGGTACCTCGTCCTCCCACAACCACATCAAAGTTACAACTAAACTACAGAACAACCATCATTCAAAACAGCCAGAAATCCAGCTGAATGGAAGTCCTACAACTACGGAATTAAAGAAGTAACTGCATCGAGACTGGTAGGAGGGGTGGAGGCGGACGGGCTGGTCCCACACCCACGTGTGGCGGATAAAAATCAGGACACCTCAGCTGGGAAGGTCCTTCCTGAGGACTGAGGGGTCCCCGTCCCACACCAGGTGCCCCGCTCAGGGTTCCAGTGCCAGGAAAAGAAGTCCCATAACTTCTGGCTGGAAAAACCAGCGGGAACTGAGGCTCAGGGAGGCTGAGGTGGCTGGAACCCCAGGCAGCTCCTCTTAAAGGGCCCGCGCAGGGACTTATCGGACTCTCTCCCTCTAAGCTTGGAGGGGAGGCAGCTAGAGGGGCGCCAGAGACATACAGGAAAGAACTGAACTGTTTGGCATTGGCGCAAGGGCTGGAGAGGGGGCTTTCTCCAGGACAAACGTGCTGTCACAGGCCTTTGTTCCTTTGGTGAGCCCTTCCCTGGGGCGGCAGACAGCCGCCATATCTGGGACTCCAGCAACCTGGCTCACACTGGTTGCCCCGCCCTGGTGATTCCCTGAGGCTCCGCCCCACCCAACTTTCAGGCCCACCCAAGCTGTTGCCAATTACTTAACCATAGGATTGGCCTATCTTGGATCCTGCTTTAGGTTTTCCTAAATTCTTTCAAACAAGCAGCATCTGGTCTCAGCTAGCCCCATACCTCTTGTTAAGTAATACACAGAAACAAACACAGAGAAGCAGCCAAAATGAGGAGACAAAGAAACAGGTCCCAAATGAAAGAACAGAACAAAACTCCAGGAAAAGAACTAAGCAAAATGGAGATAAGCAACCTAACAGATACTGAGTTCAAAATACTGCTTATAAGGATGTTCAATGAACTTAGTGAGGGCCTCAAGAGCATTAAAAAGGACCAGTCAGAAATGAAGGATGCACAGTCAGAAACAAAGGAGGCACTAACTGAAATAAAGAATAATTTACACAGATTCAATAGTAGAGTAGGTAAAGCCAAGAAGCAACCATCGATTTTGAATACAAGGAAGCAAAAAACGCCCAACCAGAACAGCAAAAAGAAAAAAGAATCCAAAAAAAATGAGGATAGTGTAAGGAGCCTCTGGGACAACTTCAAGCGTGCCAACGTTCACAGCTTGGGGGTGCCAGAGGGAGAAGAGAAAGAACAAGAAGTCGAAAACCTGTTTGAAACAATAATGGCAGAAAAGTTCCCTAACTTGATGAAGGAAGCAGACATACATGTCCAGGAAGCACAGAGAGTCCCAAGCAAGATGAACCCCAAGAGGCACACAGCAAGACACATCATCATCAAAATGCAAAAGGTTCAAGACAAAGAGAGAATCTTAAAAGCAGCAAGAGAAAGGCAGCTAGCTACCTGCAAGGGAGTTCCCATAAGGCTGTCAGCTGATTTCTCAAAAGAAACTTTGCAGGCCAGAAGGGAGTGGCAAGAAATATTCAGAGTGATGAAAAGCAAGAACCTACAACCAAGATTACGTTTTCCTGCAAAGCTGTCATTTAGAATTGATGGACATATAAAGAATTTCCCAGACAAGAAAAAGTTAAAGGAGTTCATCACCACCAAACCGTTATTATATGAAATGTTGAAGAGTCTTTTTGAAGGAAAAGATAAAATAGATGAACAAACAAAATGGCAATGAATACATATCTATCAGTAATAAAATCTACAAACAAAATGAACAGAAAGAACAGAAACATTCTTATAGATACAGAGAACATTTTGTTGGTTGCTAGATGGGAGGGGGTTTGGGAGAATGGGTGAAAAAGGTGAAGAGATTAAGAAGAACAAATTGGTTGCTAGACTGACAAACCTCAAAGAGAAGGGGGCTGGGGGGGGGTGGGAAGAAATAAACCAAAGAACTTATATGCATAACCAATGGACACAGACAACAGTGTGGGAAAAGGCAGGAAGGGGATGGGAGTGGGGAGGAGGGGGTCAATGGGGGGAAAAATGAGGAACATCTGTAGTACATTCAACAATAAAGATAAAAAAATTAAAAAAAAGAACAACATTGGAATGGTGGTAATACAAGGAAATAGCATCATCGTGTTAGCAGCCTTGGAACGAGTGTAAAGAATGGCTGTATTCACCAGAGAAATCAACTCCTTTCACGTGTCCCCTTTCCACAGCACCTGTTTTACGACAATATAAAAATAGAATTGTGTCCATTTTCACATTGAATTTTTGTTAAATGAACTTTTGTATTGGTCAAAAATAAATAAATAAAGAGACAGAGCAAGCATCAGAGCCAGACATATGGCAGGGATGTTGGAATTATCAGACCAGGAATTTAACACAACTGTGGTTAATATGCTAAGGGTTCTAGTAGATAAAGTAGACAGCATGTAAAAACAGATGGGCAATGTAACCAGAGAAGTGGAAATTCTAAGAAAAAATCAAAACAGAAATGCTAGAGATAAAAACAAAACAAAACACTGTTAGACAGATGAAAAATGCCTTTGATGGGTTTATTAATAACCCTAGATACAGCTAAGGAATGAATCTGAGCTTCAGGCTATCTCAACAGACACTGAAAAGCAAATGGGGGGGGGGGGGGCGGGGATAAAAAAGGAACCGAACAGAAAGTCCAAGAACTGAGAGATAACTACTAAAAGAGTGACATATGCATAATGGGAATAAAAGAAGAAGAAGAAAAAGAAACAGAAAATGTATTTGAAACAATAATGACTGAGAATTTTTCCAAAATTAATGTCAGATGCCAAGCCACAAATCCAGGAAGCTCAGAGAAAATCAAGCAGGATAAATGCCCAAAAATATGATACCTAGTTATTTCAAAAATTTTTAAAAACCAAAGATAAAGGAAAAAACTGAAAGAAGCCAAGAGGGAGGAAAACAAACAAAGCAACACCTTACCTATAGAGAAGCAAAAGTAAGAATTACATCTTTCTCCTCAGAAGCCATGTAAGCAAGAAAAGATTTGAGTGAAATATTTTCAGTGGTAAGAGAAAAAAAAAAATCAACCGAAAAAAACCCCCCAACAATAACAATAAAAAAAAATACACCAACCTAGAATTCTGTATCCTGTGAAATGATTGAAAAGTGAAGAAGATATATTGAGGGGTAAAAATTGAGGGAATTTGTTGCCAATAGACTTGCCTTAAAAGAAGTGTCTAAAGAAGTTCTTTAGAGAGAATGAAAATCAGACAGAGAAGATATCACAATTATAGAACAAGAAAAGAATGCTTTGAAAATGAACAAAATAAAAACTAGAACCTAAAAATTAAAAGAATGATGACCAAATTAAAAGAAGAGTTGAAAAGTTAAAGAAATTTCCCAGAAAGCAGAATGAAAAGACTACAGAGATGGAAAAGAAGAGATAAGAAAATTAGAGTTTCAGCTTGAGTCCAACATCTGCCTACCAGGAATTCCAGAAATAGACAACAGAGGAAAAGAGGGTGGCAAGGGAAGAGGAAAGAAAAGGAATATTATTAAAAACAAACAAAAACTCCCAAGCAGAGAAAGACGGATATCGTATGATCTCACTTATATGTGGAATATAATGAACAAAACAAACAGATGAACAAAATAGACCCAGAGACATAGAAGTAGGGTCCAGACTGACAAGCCTCAGAGAAGGAGATGGGGGGTGTTGTGGCGCAAGAGAACCATCAGAGCCAAATTAAAGACAAATAGAGAGCAAAGCCCACCGGCAACTGATCCCAAGTTCTTGGAGACCAGCCCTGGGGCCTCCAAATGTTGTGGGGCAACAGAGTCAAAGAAAGACCACTAGAGAATTGAAGTCCAAATAAGAGCCGTTTATTAGCCCGCCGGCGTCTGATTCCAAACACCCCTGTGACAGAGTCTTCGGAATCAGCCCGATATGCTTTATTACTGCCTTTTATGCCTTACAGCAAATAGGATCTTCTTGATGTAATGCCCAGGGCCACAGCAACGCTGTATAGAATTAGTTTGCCTTATGGATAACAGGCACACCCAGAAACACCCACGAATTTCAGGTATTTAAAGGTACATTGGGTCACACTTAGCCCCGAGCTACACAAACACAATGGAAGCCTAATTTCTTGAGATTGTGGGGGAGGTCGAGTCTCTGACTCAAGACCTTCAGGCTCTGTGGACTCTGTCAGACACGTGGCTGGCTCCCAACAATTTCTTGTTTCAGGGGGTCTTTACAAAACAGGTTCAGCTAGAGGGCACACAGTGACTTTTCCAATCATCAATTATGGAGCTATAAACAAGTCAGCACAATAATTTACCAATCATCAATTATGGGGTTATAAACATGCCAACACAGGGGGATGAGATAAACCACAGAACATTTATACATGTATGTGTAACCAATGGATATAGACAACAAGTTGGGATGGGGGGGATGGGGATGAGGGTGTCAATGAGGGAAAAAGGAGAAACATCTGTAACAAAAATAAATTAATAAAAATAAAACTGGCAAAGGGGTATAAAAAAAACAAAAACAAAAAAACTCAGGCAAAGTTCCCAGAACTGAAAGAGATGAGTCTCCATACTTAGGCCATTGAATTTTAAGAGCTGCACATTGGGAACTAGGAAATAAAGAGAAAATATATATATTTTTTATCCTCACCAGAGGATATTTTTTACATTAATCTTCAGATAGAGCTGGAGGGAGAAAGAGAGAGAGAGAGAGAGAGAGAGAGAGAGAGAGAGAGAGAAACATCAATGTGAGAGAGACACATCGACTGGTTGCTACCCACACAGCCCCAACCGAGGCCAGGGACGAACTGCAACCCAGGTACGTGTCCTTGGCTGGAATCAAACCTGGGACTCTTCGGTCTGCGGGCAATGCTCTTACTGCTGAGTTATACTGGCCAGGGCATAAAGAGAAAATCTTAAACATTTTCTGAGATGGTAGGGGACAGGGAAAACATGCCTCTTAGCATCAGTGCAAGCTAGAGGATAACAATGCCTTCATAATTTTAAGTGAAAATTTTCATCTAGATTTCAGTATACAACCAAATTCTCAATCAAGTGTGAGGCTAAAATAAAAATACTTCCTGTCCGGCCGGTGTGGCTCAGTGGTTGAGCATTGACCCATACAGCAAGAGGTCATCAGTTCGATTCCCAGTCAGGACAGACATATGCCCAGGTTGTGGGCCAAATCCCCAGTGGGAGGCATGCAGGAGGCGGCCAATCGATGTTCTCTCTCATCGATGTTTCCATCTCTCTCTCCTTCTCCCTTCCTCTCTCTATAAAATCAATAAAGGAAAAAAATTTATTTTAAATAAAAATATTTCCAGGGACTTGGCTAATTTGGCTAAGTGATTAGAGCGTCAGCCCAAGGACCAAAGAGTTGAGGTTTCGATTCCAGCCAAGGGCACGTACTTCGGTTGTGGTTCGTCCCCAACCCTGGTTGGGATCGTGCGGGAGGCAACCAATAGAGGTATCTCTCTCACATCTATGTTTCTCCCCACCCCCCATCTGAAGATATTTGAGAAAATATACTCGGGTGAGGATTTAAAAATAAATAACTAAGTAAATAAGTAAATACATAAATAAATATTTCCAGGGAAGCAAGGGGAAAATAAACATGTTATCTTATGCAGCCTTTCTTAGTAAGTTACTGGAGAATATGCTTCAGCAAAACAAAGATGTAAAGGAAGAAAGTGGAAGGCAAAGCATCCAGGAAACAATCAACCTCAGAAGAATGACCTAGGAAGGTGTCCAGAATGGCATCTGGGCAGCTGATCAAAAGGTGGCAGCTGGAATACAGAGAGCTAAATATACAGAAGAAAGTTCTCTGGAGGTGGGGAATAAAACTCGCCCTGGCTGGATAGCTCAGTTGATTAGAGTGTTGTTCTGATACCCAAGGTTTTGCATTTGATCCCCAGTCAGGGCACATACAGGAATCAACCAATAAATGCATAAATAAGTGAGACAATAAATCGATGTTGCTCTCTCTCCTTCTGAAATAGTAAGAAGGAGTTACCTAATTTGTCTAAGCAATTGGAATCATTATCTGTTGAAGCATTTGAGTAAATACAGATATAACAAAGCAAGTAGGAAAACGTAGCCAAGCATGCTACAGGGGGGAAAAAAAAAAAAAAACAGAAAAGTTTTGCAAAGAAAAAATTATCATAGCCCGGCCAATGTGGTTCAGTGGTTGAGCATCGACCCATACACCAAGAGGTCGCCGGTTCGATTCCTGATCAGGGCACATGTTCAGGTTGTGGGCCTGATCCCCAGTGGAAGGCATGCAGGACGCGGCCAATTGATGTTCTCTTTCATCAATGTTTCTCTCTCTCTCTCTCTCTAAAATCAATAAAGATAAAAAAAAAAGAAATGTCATCATAGCAAACTACTTAGCACAGCAGTGAACAATAGTGACATACTCTTAATAAAGTACATACTGATTATGTAACCCGAAAGGGTCTATATTTTTTTAAATTGATCTCAGAGAGAAGAAGGGAGAGAGAGAGAGTAACATCGATATGAGAGAGAAATATCGATCAGTTGCCTCCCACTTCCCAAATGCACCCCGACTGGGGATCAAACCCAAAACCTGCGTATGTGCACTGACTGGGAATCAAACCCGTAATCTTTTAGTGTACAGGACGACACTCTAGTCAAGTGTGCCACTGGCCAGGGCAGTAAAAAACTTTTAATTTTTAAATCAAGAAATAGGGGCACATTATTTTAAAATACTGAGATAAATGCCCAAAGAAACAGCTTAAAAGAAATGGATATAGGGACCAGAACTAGAGGTGGGCAGAGTTGGGACAAAGAATTGCTGGCATTTGATATAAGGTTTTAGTACTGTTGGATTTTTAAAATTACATGCATGATTAGTTTCATTTTTAAAACTTAAAATTATTATTAAATATGAGATGTAAAAATTGAATGTCTACTATAGGCTATGTTTGAATTCTAGCTTTTCTGCTTATTATGAGGCCATGGGCATTTACTTGCACTATTTGGGTCTTGATTTCCTTATCTATTAATTACAATATTTGTTGTAGTAGAGATGCCTGGCCCCTTCCCCACCCTTTATAACAATAGAACTTGTGAAATAATAGAAATATATATACTGTGCTCTGCCAGCAGTTCCTGGCACAGAGCTC